TCTTACCATGCTTTCTCATGGGCTGGCTAATGTTCACCAACTGGTGAAGGTCCATCAGGCACTCACAATTTGTAGTTATATTACTAATAATTACTGTCTTCTGTTTTTTGAGCGCTCACCCATGTCGGAAACTATGCTCCGCCTTTCCCTTTCAGAGTACCATGTCATGTTCATGCTCCTGATCTTAGGGAAATGACTTATTAAATTTCTGTCTGTGTATGTAGTATGAAAAGTTTGTAGATCTGAGCCATACATTATAAACTTGACAAATATTTACTGTTGTTTTCTCTTACTAATTGTTGGGTTGCTGAATCTAGGGGATGCGCTGATTACTTCAATAAAGGCCTCAGTGATCACTTCGTAAGGAAATTGTTAGACATAGAACACATATAAATAGGTGGAGTCTTCTAATTTGCTGAGTGTTAATAGACTCAAAACAGTTACTATAGCAAGTCACTGACAAGGCAGTGTGATGTGTTAACTGGCAATTCCAAAGGAAATGAAGTAAATGACACCTCTTCCCTGGTTTGGAAAGTAAAGATATTTTAGAATTATAAAACATTATATGCATTTGTCCTTTTATTATCCTAATGTAAGGTTGATGGGATAGATAATTGCATCTGACATTGCATTGGCTTATTTTTTTTATGTTGAACTCTATTTTCCTGGTATCATCTCCCACCGCATATAGGCAATGAACTTTTCTTACCTGATGACTTAAAGGTTTTTGACCAAATTAAGACTTTTCAAGTATCTGTGTCTTAATCTGTACAGTTCCCTCTGCCTGGAATGCCTTTCCCATCTCCACTTGCCTCATTCCTCCTCATTCTTTTTTTTTTTAAGATTTATTTATTTATACAAGAACCGGGGTACAGGCCTGAGGCGCAGGAGGGTGAGAGGATTCATCAGAGACAGAGCGGGGAACAGAACAGGCAGACTGATGAAATACACTGCTGAGGGGAGCAGCGGGCGAGGCAGGAGAGGTCTGCTCGCCATGTGGGATTCTTGACAGCCAGCAGGGATCGAACAGGCAACATGGAGGCTGCGGACAACTTCACAGTGTGGCGCTCAACCGCCTGAGCCACTAAGGAGGCCCCCTCCTCATTCTTCAGGACCCCATTTGAATACCAAGTATCCCCTGAATTGTCTCTCACACAGTCCTCTTCCACCCCTTTCACTGGGGGGCCAGGGCACCCTGCGCACACTTCCGTGACCTCAGTTGACACAAGGAGCCACATTGTTTTCTTGCTAGCAGCAGTAAGTTGTGACTTTTCAAAACCATGGGTCGTCTTTTATGGTTTTATTTATTTTTTAACACCTCCCCAAGTCAATATATACACAGCATAGACTCAATCGTGTTTACAATTGGAAGTGAATTATTGATATATCACATTATTGATATACTATGCATATCTGTATTTTGTTACTTTCCTAACTCCCACATCCATTTTCCCACTTTCATCCCTAACCCACTCATTTTCTCTCCCTCTCTCTTTCCTCCCCCTTCCTTTTCTTTCCACCCTCCTCTCTTTCCCCCTTCCCTTCTCCCCACCTCCCTCCCTTCATTCCAGTGTGTGTAGACTTTGAAAAGCCTCATCTCTAGTTTTCATTGTAATTGCTGAAGCTCAAGGTCATAGTCTGGCAGAAGTGACTACTAGAAGAATGCACATTTTTGTTGAGTTCTGTTGTCCTTCCTGCCAGATGCACAGAATGTACTAGAAGCTCTGCCTTTTCTAGTGAAACATATAGTGGGGGTCGGGTGGGAGGGAGTTTTTATCAGCACTAAAAAATGCTTTCATGTGAGCAAGAATATGGAGACATGGAGAAAGGCAAAGAATGAGGTCCAGGAAGTACAACAGAAATTAGGCTGGAAAGCTGAGCTATGAAAAGAACCTGTCTGCCCACAGCAGAATTGGATTCAAGGTGAAGCACTGGGTCCCCACTCTCCATTTGCTCCTCTTGTCCTCTCTGTGCTCATTACTTGGTTCCCTTTGATAGAACACAAGAGACAGACATGAATTACTAGGGAGCAGCTTATACAACTGATTTCATTCAATTTTGAAGTTTCTCTCAAAATGGTTGATTTATTTTCCTCTCATGTGTGTGTTATGTACGTGCTGCTAGAATTCAGAAAGCCCCTTCATGCCTTTGTCTCCAAAGCCCCAGTCATAAAATGCAGTGTAGCAACCAAGAGAACCAGAGAACCATGCTGGGCTCTGGATTAGACAAAGGCTGAAATCCCATATGGGTCTCCTTCAAAGCAAGCTGCTGTTTTGTAACAAGCTACTGGATGGTGATAAAAAAAAAAAAAAAAGTTCTCACCTGTTTACGTAATGGGTACTGGCCCCTTTGCTTTTATTTAGCCATCTGTTCTGGTCTGTGTCCCTTTAAACTTCTAAGATCCATCAACTCATTTAAGCTGTTACCTTGACACATTGCAATGTTGTTGACATAAGGATTTTACAGAGAAGCAAATTAAAATGGTTTTTCATGATTAGAAGGTTAAGTAAGGTAAGCTGTGGTAGTTAGTGGTGAGATAAGGGGTTTTGAGGAAGCAGAACTCAAAGGATTTCCGGGTGACTGGAAAATTAGGCTGGCTAGGCAGAGGGAGGGGCTTTGACAAAGTCAGAAAGTTGAGCAAGAGCTGTGACTGACTTACTCTGATTTGTGGGGGCTTGCTCTACTGCCATTATAAACACATTGTGGGCACAGGAAGCATGTAGAAGCTGGCTTTGGGTTTCTTTCATCCTTTGCAATACTGCATGAAGAATAAATTCCACCAAGAAGTGGCAAGCTGAAACACAACAACAAATATTCAACCATTTCCATCAAGTTATTTAGCTTCATGGAGGAATGTTTCACTGTGTCTCCACCTGGACATTAAGTCAGAGTTGGACCGGTCATTGGCCCTTAGCTCTAATCTTTTTTTTTTTTTTTTGCTCTGGACTTGACCTTCTACCTAACTCCTTTGGCTCCATCTATATGGCCCACCAGTCCCTAAAAAACTATCCTTTGACTTTCTCTTCTTACTCTCTTAATCAATACCTGCTCCAGCACTGTGGTTTCTTCTGACATGACTAGTATTATTGCAATCTAGATCCAAATTCTTGGGTGTCTCTGAGTTTTGAGGTTGTCATTTTTAATCAATCAGTAGCTTCCTCCCATCATCCTTCTACCTAAATTGGATGTCCTAGGTCTTTTTCCACCTTTTCCTTCCCCCTGCCACTGCCATTGCTCATTACCTCTGTCCTAGTTAATTGGAATAGTCTCCTATCCAGTGTTGCCGGCTTTTACTTTCTTTTTTCTCTAAAGCATCTTAAATACTGACGTTAATTATAACTTACAACCTTCTAACTTACTCACCCTTTTTTTTTTTTAAAGATTTATTTATTGGACCTCCCTGGTGGTACAGCGGTTGAGTGCAGCACTGTGAAGCTGTCTGCAGCCTCTGCAGCGCGGGTTCGATTCCTGGCCGGCTAGGGAGTGACTCACATTTCACAGCAGACCTCTCCTGCCTCGCCTGCTGCTCCCCTCAGCAGTGTCTTCGGTCTGTCTGCCTGTTCTGCTGCTCACTCTGTCTCTGGTGTATCCTCTCACCCTCCTGCACCTCTGGCCTGTACCCCAGCTCTTGTATAAAGAAAATAAATCTTTTTAGAAAAAGATTTATTTATACATAAAGAAAATAAATCTTTTTTTAAAAAAGATTTATTTATGCATACAAGAGCTGGGGTTCAGGCCAGAGGTGCAGGGGGTTGAGAGGATTCCCCAGAGACAGAGTGGGGAACAGAATAGGCAGACTGACTGAAATACACTGCTAAGGGGAGCAGCGGGTGAGTCAGGAGAATTCTGCCTCTCCATGTGGACAGCTCCCTAGCTGGGGATTGAACTCGTGCTGCAGCAGCTGTGGATAGCTTTATAGGCTGCGTCTCAACCCCTTGCACCTCCAGGGAGTCCCTAACTTTTTCACCTTTATACAAATAAAGCAAACAAGCGGAGACCTCCCTTAGTTTTCCATTATCTAGCAAACTCAGTAAATTTCTCAATTTAGTTTCTCATACAAGTCACCATGAAACTAACCTTTGTGTGCCTTGTAGACAAAGTTCTCTGTGGCTATGAATAGCCTCATCTTTTCTTGCTGTGTTCACTTTTCACTCTACCTAGACAATTCTCACAGATCTCTACTTACTAAAACCTGTGCATTTGTCAAGCTCACACTCGACACCATTTTTGCTTTCTTCCACCTCAGTAAGATGCAGTTGCTCCTTGGCAACACTGAGGGTAATGTTGGTTGGCATGCCATACTGCTTGGCATGGATTTTTCCTTACTCTTACTTTCAGTTTTTTCAATCTTAGTTTTATATATCCTATACCACAGGCAAAGTTTTGGACCTGCAGAAAGTGCTAGATAAAGAAATGGAAGAATTATTGCTATGAAGATCTACAAGACTGAAAAACGATTCACTCATTCATTCATTCACTTTTATTTTGTGGGGTGCTCACAGCATGTGAGGTACTGTGTTAAGGACCAGGGGGTATAGAGATCAACATGACACAGTAAATCCTAATTCTCCAGGAACTCATGCTTACACAGAGGGAACGTCATATAAATCATGATGTAATGAAAAAAATACAACTGAAGTGCCTCTATTAAGGTATATGGGGTGACTGGGCAGGGGATTGGACAGGACTTTCCTTAGTATAGAATGTCTGATTTGGATTTTGAAAGTGCTTAGGATTTTTTAAGAAAGGTAGAGAGGTAGAAAAAGGTAGAGGTAGAATGGAAGGACAATCCAAGAGAACCACTCTGCTTGCTTGCCGAGGCCCAGCAGACAAAGGCCAAATGATTATTTTTCCACCTCCACGTGAAATAGACTAAATGACAGAGTCCTTTGATCCCCTTGAAAGAAAAAGAAAGGAAAAGGAACCCTCCCTCTGTGACTGCTTTCTTTTGGTTGAAAGTCTTCCATTCATTCTTTTTTTTTTTTTTTAATGTTTTATAGAGAAAGTCTGTGATTGCAGTGAGCTTCATAGCAGCGTTCCTCTTCCTGCTGGTTGTGCGTCTTGTAAATGAAGTGAATTTCCCATTGCTACTAAACTGCTTTGGACAACCTGGTACAAAATGGATACCATTCTCCTACACAATCAGGCGGCCCCTTCGAACTCACTATGGATACATAAATGTGAGGACACAAGAGGTAAGCCCTCAGAGAGTTACCTAGGATTCCAGTGTAACCATGGTAACAGCTTTTCTTTAGGAGCAAGTTGGCTTCCAATCACTGAACTTGCTCTCTCTGCCCCAGTGAGCTTCTTTGGGTCCCTGGCATTTTCTGCTTTCTTATTCTTAGACATTTACTGACACATGTCTAAAGCCTGGTGCTCCTCCCACATCAAATCTGATTGACTGGTTTTATGTGGAGTTGAGGAAGCAGTTACCTATTTTCCTGGTGGTTTATAGCATAACATGCATATCTTTCCATTTAGAAAGTCTGATCAGCAGTTACCAGCAGGAGAACTGGCTGGCTTTATTTCCTGGAGGGCAACCGGTTGGGGACAGCCCTTTGTAGAACTGCAGAGAAACATTTATACTCTTTAAAACTCTGTAATCCTTAGACCTGGAGCTAGGAAAGGGCAAGTTAATTTTAAAATTCTCAGTGACTGCAGAGATAATGGGATTTAAAGAATTTCCAAATTTAAAGGGGTTAAAATCATTTAAATCCTATTAATCACTGAACCTCTTAAGTATTTTTAGCCGATTGGTGGTATAGGAAAGGATGGAGGTATATTGACAAGTAGGAAGTACACGTGCTGCTAGCACTTTTGCAAGCTAGGATTTGTATCGTGAAGTGAAGTAAGAAATAATGATGTGTGAAATGTATAGAAGTGGTTAATAAAATTGTTTTCACTGCTCATTTCCATGGAGTTGGATGAATGTGAGTTTAATATTCATAGATGTAAAGTCCAAACCTATTTGAAGTTGTTGATGACAAATATACAGGGTCACCATGTCACTGGGGAGAGTTTTGGATAAGATCCCATTGCAAGGTCATTTTGTAAAGATACTAGAGAGGAGAATTATGCACAGAATTCTCCTCTGTCCTAAGAGTTATTCTTAGCATCCTGGAGGGATGTTGTAAGCTGACTTGGCCCATCCTCTTTTGTGGGCATTATCATACCTGAGTCATTGCTTCTGTTAATTTGATTCTTTGAAAATTGTTTCTGTATCTTCAGGATTTACCAGTTTTTTATTAGACTTTTATGGCTAAAAGGAAAAAAAAGCACCATTAATAACATATAAATTCTTAAGAACTTTGCTTGATGTTTATCCTTTAATTGGTTTTAAATTAATTTTTTAAAAAGTGTCAGTTGCTCAAATTTGTTGAGTGTCCTAATAAATTGATTATCTACATAAAATGTAGTTCTTAGAGAATAGTTTGTCTCACTCTTGTCTTCTTTTACTTTTATTTCTGACTGTTATTTAATATTCTAGAACTATTGGATCGTGTGAATCATTTCAAAAGTGCCTATCACAGGCAGTAAATGAAACCTGTGCCTGAAGAGTCTCATGAATTTCTCTCTTAAGTGAGATCCCACCAAATATCAAAGAGCCCTTAATTTGTTTAAATACTAATGGATTGAATTTTGGAGTGTTAAGGGAAAAACTGACCTAGGGATGTAGTTATTTAATTAGTCATAATAACCAGGCCCCTATTGAAATTCTTTTGGTATAGATTTTTCTTTATTGACGTAAAATTGACATATGCTAGTTTCAGGTGTACAACATTGTGGTTTAACATTTGTGTACATTGTGAAATGATGGTTACAGTAAGTCCATTTCTGTATTTTCTTAGATACTTTCAGATTTACAATATCATATTATTGAATATAGTCCCCTTGTTGTACATCCCATCTCTTTGATATTTTTATTTTATAACTACAAGTTTGTACTTCTTGATCCTCTTTATCCATTTCACTCCCTACCCTCCACCACTCTGGTAACCTACCAATCTGTTTTCTGTCTTTATTGGTATAGTTATTTTTTTTTTTTTAAAACAATGACTTTATCATAAATTACTGATCATTATTTTTCTTCTCTAGAGGTTATTACTTGGGAGGAAGTGTGATTATTGGAAAGAGTTTTTAGGCTTTGGAGGTGAACAGGTATGGGTTGAATCCCAGCTCAGACACTTACTGACATAAAATAGGATTAACAACATCAACTAGTAAAGTTATTATGATGATTCAAAAGGACAACATGCATTAAGTGCCCAGTTCCAAATAAATTTTCAATGATAACTTTCTTTTACTTCTACATTCATCACTTGTGATATGAAGTGCTCAGTATGAATAACACAAATGTCAGAGTACTAGAATTTATATTTAAATTGTAAAGAGTCAGAATTCTGAATCTCAATAGCAATGAGGATTTTGCATATTGAAACCACAGTGAGAAATAGAAAATCCCAGCTGGTGTCACTGGGACACTAAATACCAGATTGGCAAAAATAAAAAGAATCTGATAATACCTATTGTTGGTGAGAATGTAGAACAACAGGATCTTGAGTCAAGTTGAGATTTGCATACCCTTTGTAGCATTGCCAGTCACTGACATATTCATTAGTCACTCACAAATACATGCACAGACAGCTTGTTCATAACACTTAAAACCTGGAAGCAACCCTACATCTACCAGTAGAATAGATTAAAGATGTTCTGTATGCACTGGAATACTATACAGCAGTGAAAACTAAAAAGCTGCAACTATGTGTGAAAACATGAATGAATCTTGCACAAGCATGCTTTTGAGCCAAAGATGCAAGAATAAAAGAACACATGGTGTGTAATTCCATTTATGAAACATAAGAAGAGGCAAAACCAAATAATGTTGCCCAGGGGGAACATAGTAAGGTGTAAAACTTAAACGGAAAAAAATGACAAGGAAATTATCATTATTGAGCAGAACAGTTACTTCTGAGAGAAGTATGCCATTAGTGATAAACATGGGTTTCTGGTATATCAAAAATATTGTCTGTTTATCCACTTGGAAGTCACTGTCTAAATGTGTATGAAGTGTGCACTCACGTTGTATGCACTTTTCTGCATGCCTATTTTGTAATAAAAATTTTTAAAAATATTCTGAGCCCCCAAAATATAGGTTATTTATTGGCCAGAAGCCACAGAAAGCATTTCACTTAATAGTAATAAGTCATTTTTAAAAAGTGGTGCAATATTAAGCTATTGTAAAGGAGATATTTGAAATAAGGCAGTTTCATTTTATATAAAGACCAGGAGATATATGGATAACTTATTCCTCTAGTCTATGCTTAATAAACCTCATGTTATAAAACAAGTATAGGTAATGAGGAGAAGTTAAATAGAAATAATTAAAATACCCTTTCCATAATAATAATCAGATTCTAAATGTAATGTGGTTGGGTGAGTGGCTTCCATCCTTTGTGCTGTCCCTCTTTACTTTTTTAACTGGTACAGATTGATGATTTTTATGTTTGGGGAAGGAGGAGTCTTGAGAAGCAGGAAAACAAAATGACTACTAGTTAACTGGGTGGGTGCTGAAACTAGCCACATAATCCAGAATTCCTCATCATTAACTTGTATTTGAGTTGAGAGTAACCATAAGATAGCACCAAACCAAGCTTGGACCAGAAGTGATTTAATTTTGTAATAGGCTCTTCACTACCCCGTGTCCCACCCTCTTTAATACCTTACCTACTGGCTACTCAGACTTGCCCTGCCCTGTTAATAACATAACCCTTCATATAAAGGGCCAAATTGGGGACACTCTACCTATTATGACAGCTACTGTATAATCAGCTGGACATAGTAAAAAGTATATGATGCCCATTTGTGTTTTTAAAAAATACATATTTATGCTTGGCAATCGCCTGTAAACTCTGCATTGTCTGCTTTCTTCTTAATACGAATTTTAATGTTTCATTTAAAATTAATTGTAACAGCTAGAGAAGGTATAAAAGACTAAAGTACCTTTGGACTTGGTTCAAGGTAATCATTGTTTCTCCCTGTTGACATCATGAAGCATTTGGGTGAAAGGGAAGGAAATGAACTTCAGGCCAGATTTTATTTGTAGTTTGCTGACCATGGAAGTAGTCATTGTGTTGTCTTTTTTGTTGGGTGACCTGGTGTGAAGAAGTCTCTCAGAGCAAACAACCTGAAGCTTATTTGCATTAACTACTAGATAAGAGAGTAAAGCCCTAGAGATCAATACAATGTCACAACCAAATCTTTCTGGTGATAGTGGGCTGACAGATGTCTTCCTCAGACCTGATAAGAGAATCCTAATGTGCTTGGGCTGCAGACAGTGTCTGGTATTTAGGAAGTAGTGCCCTTTCAGATGGTGCCTAAAGCTGTGCCAAATGAAGTAGCACAGGATTTCTAGAACATAGCAATCAACTTGTATGGCTGCATATTGATTTGCTTAACAATTTAATGAGGCCAAATATGCCTCTTTTAAAAATGAGAACAGTTTAAAGCCTCAAGTTGACTAAATAAGACTACTTAGGATCAGTTGCTGTGACAGACAGGCCGCACTAGTCTAATTAAAGATGTGCATAACATATTGATGTTGCCATAGAATTTCCAGAATTGTGGTTATAGCAACAATTAAGGAGCATAACTGACTTTCTTGGCAATAAAAGCACACTCCATACATTCAAATAAATGTACACATGTAACTAAAGCTGACATGAATAGGCTTTCTATATTTGGGAATATAGACTTCGGATTTTATGTAACTATACTGAGCAATTATATGCAAATCTATGTTCCACTGGTTTAAAACTGATCAATTTAATTGCTAATTAAAATCTGAATATTCACATTTGTGTAATCATAAACCAAAAGAAATTTCAACTATTAAATTGTTATAGAAAAGGGTACAACTAAACATATAATAAAGATTACTAATTTGGCATGTGCATATTGGGTTCATTATTTAAAGATAATCCATCTTTTTCTAAGTATGAAGGCATATATCTACTGAGTGGAGAAAAAATTATGCTTCTTAGTCTGGTATGAAATGGCAACTTCCAAAAAATGACCATATCTCAGGACACTCTATTTTCAAGTACCAAATAAGAGGAATAGATAGCACTGTGGGAGGAATAATTCCAGAAATAATTCTACCTCTGAGGAAGAGGTGACATGTGGATAGAAAAAATTG